ATATTGTGAAAAGCTGTTTGCTGGTATTCCTTCACTTCGATTCTCCCTCTTTCCGTGAATTCAATTTGCAATCCTTAGGAAACCTATAATGGAACAACTTAGCATCTTAGTACTTTTTTCGTTCTCTTTAGCAAAATCTATGATCTTGTTGGTGAATAGAGGTAATCAAAGCTTTATGCAAAGCATGAAAAGAACTTAACTATGACAAATCACGTCAGTTCTAGAAATGCAAAGTAATCATCCTAACCTTTGTGGTAATAATCTTTCGTCGTTTCTATGCCCATTATGAGAAAAATCCTCAGTAATTTATTTAATGTCATACAATTGAGCCAGTAAGCAGCTCTCGAACCTTTTTCTTACATTTTGTTTGTGTATTGTCAAGGCTTGTTAATTGTCAAGAATTTAGTGTTCTTAGGTCCTAAAGAATGTGATTCACACTAAAATCATTCAATTAAAGCATGAAAAAAACTATTTTGTAGTAGATGATTCTCTCACCTCCAATTCGCAATATACAACCATCAAACAATGAAATTCAACTTTAAGTAAAGGATGTAACTTTGATCCTCTATTTCATTTCTGAGCAAATCTTTAAAAGAAAACTCCCAAGTGTTCAAGTATTGTATGAATTATTCCTCGCAAACATCAGAATTTGCGTTCTTTGGCCACATTTGCTGCGCAATCATTTAAAAGACTTTTATTGTACTTGAAATGTTGCAAAAATTAATTAGAATCGCTATAAAAGTGGGGAGTAATGTAAAATTCATTTGACACTGATTCTAAAGAATGTCTGAAAATGATTTTGACACACATTAACACAAGTATCTTAGGAGTACTTTCACATTTCTAGCCAAATATTAACAAGGGCAGCAAGACAATATCGAAATTGAATTGGGTGCAGTTGGGTGCACAAAATTTTGCAAGTATTTGAGTTAAGGGATAGTACTTCTATGATGGCAATGTTTATGCATGCAACAGCTCTACAAGATGTTAGGACCTATTAGGACAAAATCTCTGAAGAACAATTCCTACATTTTTTGCCTTGGAGAAACTGACTGTGCATGTTAATAGTTGGATTGTGATTTGGTCAGGTCACTACAGAAGCTGTTTATCAAGGATTCCGATGATTATATGTGTATTTGCCATTTAGAGTAATTATCACTGTCTAAGCAAGAATTTCCAATCCGCTACTCTTCAAAACTAATCTCAGCCGTTCCGACATGAGCTCAGATAATAGCCATTTCACCGGCCACCCTCATTTCCTCGCTTATCCTTATTTTGAGGCTTTGAATGCTTTCCATTGGTTTCTTCACATCGACACTCTTGCTCTCATGTCACACAAGGTCAAAAATCGTACGGAATGTCAGAAGCTGTCCGGATACGTCTACTACACGATGCATACGTTGCGCCATCTCGGAGCAGCTCAATCAGCGATGAGTGCGCATGTCACATAACTTAGTAGGTTAGCACTTCCTTGAAAACTCCATCCGGAAGGATTATTGTGTAACAGTAGTCGCTATTCCTGACTTATTTCTAAGCCAATTCCTCGAAATATCCTACACCTCTTCAGTTCTTCATTTCTGTACACTTAAAGGGGTGTTTTTGTCTGCCTCAATAACGCTAAAATTGAAGGAAATCGTCGTAATTACGTTTTTTCTAAAATTCCTAGATAATATACGTCTTAAAGAGGATGTTCTTCAACTGCTCGCATGATTTTCTTAGATTCTAGCATTCGACAAACTTGATCGTCTAAGAGGAACAATGGCAGTTTTTTTTCAGCTTTAGAAAAAAC